ACAGCATTTTTGTGCTACAATATTTTCTTACAGCTTTTAAAGTGTCTAAGTTAGACAAGACTGATATAAACATTGGGAACTCCAATATTCAAAAACCATACAATTTGCTAGTTACACATGTAGCATTAGCCCATCATAATTCTCTTTTCTCGTAATTTTAAGAATGGAAAAGAAATTGTTGGGTTTGCATTCCTTTATGAAACTATCCAGTTTGGATCTCCTAAGACTGGCAAGAGGAGGAAGCACATTTTGCCTTTGAAAAAGACATAGAACATTTTATCCAAAATGCATCCAACCACCTCTCAGTCAAATGAAAGGTGCATTAAAATGGAACCCGGAGGTGAGTGAGGAGAAAAATATACTAAAGTACACATATTTCATCCCAATACAGAAATAAAGTGGTGAAAAATGCTGGTGGGATCCCAAGAAGCTGAGCAGAAACATGATTTATAAAGTATTTTATGCCTATATGCTTTTACCTGCTGCCACTATTAATCACAGGATTTGGAGAAGACAAAGCAGCTCAGGAATCAGGTTTGATCACCAGGCTTAGCTCTTTGAAATAGAATGTAATCATCCCATCTGAATTTGATCATCCCACACTTTGCTTGTAGGTAGTCTTCATTCCATGTGTAGGCTGTTCCAAAAAAATCTTATTCATTGGTTATTTAAAAGCATTAAGAAACTAAGCATAATATTCTACTAAGGAGACCTTTTTCCTGGATTTCTTGACAATGGTAAGCCTTAGCCTAGTTGATGGAATGTCATAAAAGGAGACACCTTTATGATTCAATAGTTCCACTTTTTCCTAGGTGTTGCAAAATTGATATATTGCTCTTCCATCTTTTGCATTAGGAAAAATAGCTCCATATTCTCAGGAGAACCAAGACAAGACTACCTTATCAATGTCTTTCATGATGGGATGAAAGCATGACCGACAAGATTTTTCTTTATGTTTAAAAATAGCCTGGGGGGGGGGCACAATGGCATATAATATATTGCTCAAATTGAAAATGCAGACTAATAAATAAGCACAATATATATGTTCACAAACTTTTCAAAGCAAAGCTCTCCCTGAGATGAGAAAAGAGGGTCTAGGACCAGAGGCTCAAGTCAATGGCTTGAGGCCTGGGAAGCTTAACCCTAAGGTGCCTGCTTGAAGGTACAAGAGTCATATTCATTTATCACTCTGACAATCCTATAGAGAAGATTGTTTTCTCCAAATTTGCATAAAATAGAGGATTTCTCCAGGTGCACTGTTCCCTATTGTGAGGAGAGAAAAAGTCAGGCTTAACCACTTCATCTCCTTGATATGACTCATAAAAAAATGGAAAACCTCTTGGAATTTTCATTTGGCTGGATGCTAGATGGAATAATGCCATCTACGTAGCATGCTAAACATATACATTCAAAACCCAGGAAAGGGCAACACCTGATTAAAGAATAGCAAACTATTTAGCAAGAGTGTTAGGATGAAAACACAGCCACCAATATGTTCACCTTGATTCCCATCTTATCTAAATGAGACCACATTTTTGTTCTGCTGCCAAAAATTGCATTAGCAAAACAGCCAGTGTATTTTAGAATTTGAAGCCTGTGGGTAGATAAGATGCACAAGACAATCCTAGCACTGAGCACCCTCTAAAGGGAAAATAAAGAATCACAAGGTGGTACGTTGTGCAAATATTTTGCAGTAATTTGCGATTATTTGCCATTGTTATGTGCTGCAAGTCATTTCTGATTTATGGTGACCTCTTCACCCCCATGAACCTGGAAAAGCAACAATATTAAAAGCACAATTCTTTTAAATGAGAGAATCCCTCTCTAGGAATTTCTTGGTCCTTCAGCATGAATTGTTCTAGATCAGTGGTTCTCAACCTGGGGTCCCCAGATGTTTTTGGGCTACAACTTGCAGAAATCCCAGCCAATCTACCAGCTGTTAGGATTTCTGGGAGTTGAAGGCCAAAAACATCTGGGGACCCCAGGTTGAGAACCACTGTTCTAGATGATGTTTAAATCCTAGAGGATATATAGATGTCCTCCAGTACAACACTTCTGACAAAAGTTGACAATTGAATTATGCTGAAGGACCTTGAAACTCCTGGAGAGTACATAGTAGTCTTGGGCATGTATTTGTTTTCCTTTGCTACCTTTGGTACCTTTGGTACCTTTTGGAACCAGTAACGGTGAGGGTCCTCCTGGTACAAAAACCTGCCCATAACAAAAACAAATGGGAGCTGATCTCAGCTCCTCCTCTGTTTTTCAGCATCACAATGTAATATTTTTATTAATCCCAGCAAACAAAAAGAAAACCCTAATTCTTTGAAAACTACTATCAGTTACCTCTCCTATACAGTAGACTAGAAACAGCTGTAAGGAAGGATTAAACCCAAACCAGAACAGATATTGAAGTGTGCCAGGAAAAAAGAGGGGCATTTAAAGGAAGCCCAGTGACTCCAGGAGGTCATCCCTCTTCCTTACCTGGAAATGGGGAAGCCTCCTTAAAATGCCTTCGAAAAAGTGTGTGGTGTGGTGCAGGCCTGGGAGAGAACGCACATGTGTTTGCCCGCATCTACTCTAGAGTAGAAACAAGTAAGATGTTCTGTCTCCCAGGAGACTGGTTTGCCTTACCTTACAGTTGCTTGAAGTTGCTCCCCCTTGCATTTTCTCCCAGGACTGCTGCAACTCTGCAAGAGCTCTGAAAGTTAACCATTTCTGAGGCTGCAGGCCTCTTTGCAACTATTGGCCTAGAGAGCAGCTCTTTAGGTTTAGAGCCCGTCCCTTCTCCTGGGCTTGAGATCTCCATTTTGGAATCTCCCCTGCCTCCTTCAGTTTAGAGGAAAGACTCCAGACGTGCTGATGGTCAGGCAGGTAGCGTTGGAAAAACCATTGCAAAAACTATTGAATTAATATAGATAGTCATTGGGTATTGAGCTATATTGAGTTAATATAGATAGTAATTGAGTATTAAGCTATATTGAGATATTATACATAGATAAGCTTAATTGAGAAGATTGAGTTACATAGTTAAAGAGAGAGATTTCACTGCTTTGTCACCAGAACTAACCTTAAGCTATAGATAGGGAAAAACCCTGCTTTTTTCTAACTATAACAGCTTAGGGTTAGGGTGAAAAGATTCCAGGATCTTCTCTGCCTTCTGGGGAAAAGCCAACTCAGTGACTGGAGGAGAAGAGAAAGAAAGAATATCTCTGTGGTTTCATCTATTGACTGTTTGTTTGTAACTTTGATAAGTCTGCCAAGTCTGCAAGGACTTTGAATAAATAAATATCCTTTTTTGATGTCTAAAACCAGTAATAGCCTCAGTTGCTGAGTATCTCAAGATTCTCAAGAAAGACACCTGCAGTTCACTCAGACATAGAGAGAAGCACGTCACAGTTTTATTTTTTATAGCGTCTGGGTGGACAGCACATAAGATGCCTCCTTAAGAGCATGGGCCTGCCTGCAGCACCTCTCCTGTAGAGTAGAAACACCTTCAAGAAGCCTCCTTTAAATGCAAGTTGGAAAGAGTGTGTGCCACAGTGCAAGCCTGGGAGAGAAAGCGTGTGCGCCAGTGCCAGCAGTGCTTCTCCTCTAGAGTAGAAACAGCTTTAAGAAGCCCTTTTTAATACACCTGCCTGCAGCACCTCTCCTCTAGAGTAGAAACCGCATAAATGCCTAAAATGATGGGAAGGAGAGCCTGGGAAGCCCCCCCCCCAATGGGCTGGATAGAAAATGAATCTCTTGGTAACCCAGAGCGAAAACAGATATCTGCCCTCCTGAATTCAGGAGGCTCCCGAAAAACGGCCCAGGGCCCCCACTGAAATCCAGGGCACCAAAACGGATCATCCTTGAATTATAAAATTTTAAAAAGTGAAATTTGAAACTGTATCTTGTTCTCAGCTCCAGCTCTGTCTCCCTTCCAGGAAAGCTAAAATCTTGAGTTATTTAAATAATACCATTTGACAGCTCTAGCATTCTGAAAAACATGTCACAGGGTCTGAAAATATAGGTCTCAGTGATCAACTTTTTATATTTACAAGACAGAGAGACGTGTTTTGTTTGCATCAATCAGAGACATAGTTTTATTAAAAGCTTCTTTTCAGTAGAAAGTAACACAAGTGGCAAGGGTAACACAATACACTTTGTAGAAGACGGTGAACCTGGGAGCCACCCAGTGGCAAATAGCTGGCATCAAGAGAGTTCAGCAGCTAGAAGGAAGGCTCATGATTATAGATTTGAAATCAGACAGCTACTGAGGACAGAGTTGTCATAGTTCAACATGTGAAAGATGCAAATTTCCTTCCAAGTCTATCTGTTCTAATCCTGAAAGAAAGAAAAAAGAACTTCAAGGTTACAGCCTAACTGTGTAGCACTGATATCTCAATGAAGCCATTGTATAATGCGAGTTTTACTGAATTTAATAGCCATTAAATGACACTAAATTAGGCTGGTGCTAACTCAATGCCTAAGAAATCCATCCAAAGGAAAAGTAGTAATTATTTACTAATATACTAATGACCTGTGGGTAAGTCGAGGATCAATCTGCCACTCTATTCAGATAAGGGAAATGTTTCCTTTTTTTAACAAGAGTTAGGGTACAGCACATGCTGACGTGTGGATAAGTTGAGGTTTTTTTATTAAAATATGTAGACCTATACATGAGTATATGGATTAATAAAGTAATGATAATAATTTATGAAAACATAATGCAAGGTGCCCCAGCTGGGTTTAAGTATTGCAAACAACAATAAAACCAAAAATGGGATGGGATTCTGCAGAGATTAAACAAGAATTGTCAAGGACAAGGTGTGTATATAACACCTCTTGACCATCCAAGCATTCCACAGTTTTATGACCTTACACTTTTATTTCTCTATTTCTATCAGTGATTCCCCAAGGAAGATCTCCTTTGCTTTGTCTACATTAGAAGGAAAGTGTGTTTCCTTCAAGAATCACTCACAGTTTCCTTTTAAACACAAGGACGTTGTAATTCACACTTACCTTTTACATCAGATTGACAGTGAGATCATTGGGAAGACGTGGTCATGTGAATGTGGGAGATTTATCTGCATCATCTTCAGTATGCCTGAAAATAAGATTTAAGAAGGACTTAGGGCAACCCTACTGGATGTACCCATTCATGCTGTTTTAACTCCATCATTCAGTTTTTCTGTACATTTTTATCCCATTATTTTTAGAGAGACAGCTTCACAAAGCAGTTTATAATACTAAAGAAGATGGATGCAAGCCTATGCAGACGGACCACAGATAACAAAACCTCCGGCAAAAAAAATTGCTTTTAAAAAAATCTCACATAACAGTATGTGATATAACAGTATGTTACTTGGGCATTTCTGAAGACAGCCCAATTTGAAGAGGTGAATGTGGAGAGAGATGGACTGTGAAGACCTGAGAGATTTATGAAATCCTAAAACCCAGTAAGTCAACCAGATGTGAAGACATGGAGGAATATTTGTAATAAGCGACACCTGGTATTTTTCTGAATAAAGAAAACATGTGGTTTTCATGAATTGGTTCATTGTCTTCTCTGGTAAACAACTTCTCTGCCTGGACTGCAAGAAAGGGCCACATCATGTATGATGTTATTATTTTGTTAGTTGATATGTAAAGTTGATATCTGAAAAATGGCAGCTTATGAGATTTCATAGTTATCAAAATGATATATGAAAAATGACAGCTTATGCGATTTCATAGTTGTCAAAATGAAAAGAATGCCAAAAGATACAAAGAACTTTAACGCTGAGGCCAAAAACTCCTTCATGTCTGAAATTTCAAAATCTGACATTGAAGAATTAAATATCCAGCAATAATCATGTCCGTTCTCGGGGGGAAAACTTCCTTTGGAGTCCAAAAAGAAGGGACTATAGGAAAACTATTTTGTATCTGAGTTCTGCTAGTCTATATCAGCCCAATTTACCATCATAGGCCACACAACTAACCCAATAAATATAGACTTTTTTTTTCAGATGTTGTGTCATTATATAATTTTTATCTGACTGTTGGTATAATTTATTGCTCTTAGGTTTAATTCACTGATCTTAGCTTTGATTTGGTTAGGTTTTAATTGCTGTTTTCATATGTAGGGTTTTCCTGGGATTTTATGTCAGTATTTGTTTGTCTTATGGAAGCACTGAATGTTTGCTGTTGTATGTTGGAATGCACCCTGAGTACCCTTGGGGAGATAGGGCAGAATACAAATAAAGTTTTTGTTGTTGTTGTTGTTGTTGTTGTTGTAGCAGTAGTAGTAGTTGTAGTTGTTAAAAACCAAGATTATGATCTACCTACTCTGGATCATGCTGTTCTCCTAACAGACAACAGTATATTTCTATCTCACGTTCCAGAAAACATTTGGCATCTGAAAGCCTTGTGTATTCTTCATCCAGGCACTCTGTCTTCACCCTCAGCTCTACCAGTTGTTGCTCCATATAGCAAATCTGGTTCTGTATTTCAGCCAAACAGTTATTATAAAGGCGTTGGGTCTCTACCAAAGATTCTTGCAGTGTGTCCCTCTGAAGAATACAAAAAACACAAAGGTAAAATGTTAAGAAGTGGGAAAGTGAGGTTAACAACAACCAGCTCTTTTTGTATGAAGGCTGGGGCTGGTGGGTAGGAAGCCAAGATCTTACAAGGTGATAATGTTCCAAACCATCTCACTAATACATAATCCATGATGGGAAAAGAAGCATGGCAATTCCAAATACTGTTATTTAACAGTGTTGATTACACATAATTCTGCAAAAGAAATGTGGGTTTCCTTGCTTTACTTATCACATGTTTTTTTTTCTTTCACTCCCTATCATTCTTTAGCACTACATCTTTTCTTCCCAACTAATTCCACTTCAGCTTCAAAGCCATTAGAAGTCCATTTCAATTCAACTTGGCCTGAGCAATAGACAAGTCCAGGCAGCTGTAAGTGTGTGAAGCCCTTTGTTTACCTTAAAGCCAGATGGAGTTTCACACCTCCCTGAAAGCTGTCCAAATTTTATAGAGAAACTAGCGAGAGTGAGGGCATTATGTACTTGGCACATGGGTGCAAAGTGCACATATCCAGAACTGTGTCAGACATCTCTTTGGATTTGATATTGGGAGAAATTGAGTACTGAATGACAAGATATAGAAATAATAGTATTACAACTAACTTGAATGAACTGCCAAGATTCATGCTTACCAGGCTAAGCTGAGTCTGCAGATTGATTTCCAAAGTTTTCAGCTGGCCTTTCAAGTCAACAACTTGGTGGTTGTCATCTTTAAGCTCTTTGCTCCTGTTAATGGCCTCTATCTGAAAAAGCAATGTAATGTTGGAAGGGATGCTGTCATGTTTTCTTTTTGAGTCTCACTTGGAAAACTATTTGGTTATATTCATGATACATTTGAGTTTTCTAAGGGGATATTACAGTAACAGTAAACAGTTACATCTAATTATATATTTTGCCTAATCATGACATGTAGTTTATCAATTACCCGTATATTCCGGCATATAAGACGACTGGGCGTATAAGATGACCCCCAACTTTTCCAGTTAAAATATAGAGTTAAGACAACTCCCATGCATAAGACTACACCCGCGTATATGACGACCCCTGACTTTTGAGAAGATTTTCTTGGGTTAAAAAGTCGTCTTATACGCCAGAATATACTGTACTTCTAATTTTATGCATAACTGTTCTCTTCATCTTGGATTTGCAACATTTGATATAAATATCCATTTGATGTCACCCAAGATTACAAATGGAATGGAAAAAATATTTTCTCAAAAACCTTTAAGGTCCCTTCCACACAGCTGTATAAATCCACATTGGATTATATGGCCATGTGGACTCTGGGCCTTTCTATACAGCCATATAACCCAGAATATTAAGGCAGATAATCCACAATATCTGGTTTGAACTGGGTTATCTGAGTCCACACTGCGATATAATCCAGTTCAATGTGTATTTTACACAGCTGTGTGGGAGGGGCCTCAGATAATCCAGTTCAATGCAGATATTGTGGATTATCTGCATTGATAGTCTTTGTTATATGGCTGTGTGGAAGGGTCCTAAATCAGTGTTCTCAAAATGTGCTCCTCTAGGTGTTTTGAACTTCATCTCTCACAATTTTTAACTGGTCAACTGCCTGGGATTTCTGGGAGCTGAAGTCCAAAACACCTGGAGGAACACAGTTTGAGAAACAGGCTGCATCTAAATGATAGCCCTGATCAATGATCACAGGTATGTTTTGGAAAGGAAATAGGCAAACAGAAATGTACACAATTAAAATGCATATGTTAATATCAGAGCACAAAATGTCCCATAGACAATGTAAAAAAGGAATTCATTGTAATGGGCATATAAACAGAAACAATCAGAACAGAAACAAAACTATGCCCAATACACTGCAGGAAGAATTTTGTCATCCATCACAGGGATTGGGAAAATGATGAAACGTGTAAATGCAGTAAGAGGAAAAGATGACAGATTTTTTTAATGTATACATTAAATTAGTATAATGAGAGACAGTGTTGTGCAGTGGTTTGGTTATTGAACTCTGGAGACAAGAGTTCGTCTCCACTCCAATTTGCCACCGAAACCCACTGGGTGACCTTGGACACAAGTACCACTCTCTCAAACCCTCTCTAAATAAATCTTGCCAGGAAAACCTTATGAAATGGTCACTAAAAGTCAGATACAGCTTAAAGGCGTATTACAAAATATCCTGCATGTATTGTAAATTGAGGGATATATTGCTTTCTTCTTCCCCACTTTATCTTCACAACTCTTCTATGAGTTAGGTGAGGAGAGAGACATTGACTAGTTCAAGATCTCCTGGTGGATTTAATAGGGACAATTTTTATCTGGACATGAACAAATGTTTTAATTTTTTTCCTGCATTTCCTGCCTGAATACAACCTGTAGCCACCTACCGTACTTTCATACCACTTCTCAATTTCTTTGACATTCTTCTCAATAATTGCTTCATACCGCCTTCTCAGATCATCCAAGGCTTTCTGCAGTTCTGAGCCTGGGTTAGGATTCACTTCAACATTAAGATTCCTCTGTGCCTGTTTCTTCAGTAGATTTACTTTCTGCAAAGGAAGAATTAATTTGGAATGAGCCATTGCTGTACCAGAGGTATGGAGAAAACGTATACTTGTGGTAAAAACTGTTTGGAAGGGGCTTCAGGATTAACAGCTCACCTCTTCATGGTTCTTTTTCAGGCAACATAGCTCTTCCTGGAAAGACTCAAGTTGAGCCTCAAGATCAGACCTGCCAAGGGTCAGCCGATCCAGGATTTGACGCAAGCTATCAAGGTCAGTTTCCTTATCCTGGCGAAAAACCAGCTCAGCCTCATACCTGTAGCAGATACAAGGGATGGAAAAGTATTGGCACCTAGTAAGTTCACAAACACCTCAAATATACATATATAGTCAATATGCCATGTTCATTGGGGTTAGGAGTATAGGGCCCTTGTACAAATAGAAAAACTACAATTAGAGAAAATGCTATTTTTGTCTGAGAGAACACATTTCTAGGACGGTCTAGATCTTCCAACCTAACTCTTAGTGTCAACTTCCATCTGAATCCCACAAAAGGACCTACAAATACCTAGATAAGTGTTCTCTCTTGGAATCTCTATGGCTTCCAGAATGACTACTGGAGGAACTGGGCCACAAAGGTCCTTGGAGGACCTAGAAATTCCTAGTGATACCTTTGCTTTGACAAATTGCCACCTCCCTTTGCTTTGACCAATTTCTCTTAGGGCCCTTCCAGACAGGTCCTATATCCCAGGATCTGATCTCAAGTTTTCTGTTTATCCCCGATTATCTAACAGTGCAGACTCATATAATCCAGTTTAAAACAGAAAACCTGGGATCAGATCCTGGGATATAGAACCTGTCTGGAAGGGCCCTTAGCCTACAAAGGCAGCTCCCTCCCTGAGTACTACTAGTGATCCTTTGAGAGCCACATTATACCTCCAACTGTTTCTATTTAGCAGGGACATACCCGATTAATCCCTTGCTACTTCACTTTTCCAGCTGATTTTAAAATGTCTCAGTCCCCCTCCATACTGCCGCTATATACCAGGATTTGATCCTAGATTATCTTCTTATCCTAGATTATCTGCATTGGAGACTCATATAATCCAGTTTAAAGCAGATAATCTGGGATCAGATCAAGGCAGTGTAGAATGGGCCCCAGTTTCTCTCACCACTTCCCACTTTTCCCACCATTCTCCATTTATGTTACTTGTGGCAAACTGAATTCAAAGTCCAAAAGTAGCCTGAACTCAATTCAATGGCAGGAGAAGGGAAGTTGGGGTAGAATCTTGCTCTTGTCAGTCAACTCGGGAAAAAGCAAACCACTGTAGCTTGCCCTTTGTTCCTCATTAATAACTTTTGTGGTTTAGACAAAATTATGATGCTCCTTGGCTACATGTGTTATTTGTGAAATATTAGCAAGTATTCTAATTTATGGGAACCAAATAAAGCTTTCTCCACCCACTCATGCCATATAACTCCAGAGTACCTCACCTCATTCTGAAGTCATCTGCAGTCATCTTGCTGTTATGAATGTCCAGGACAAGTTTCCTGCAGTCCACTGTGGCACAAATAAGCTGCAAGAAAGAAAATAATATTTAATTTATTAGGTTTATTTATTTGACCATTTCCAGTATTAAGCACTGAACAAGACTTGCCTACTGTATTTTGGTGCTTCTTTAATCCTGTGATTCTCTCTAGACCAGTGATCTAACCTTTGGTCTTCCAAATGTTTTTGGACTTCACGTCCTACAGGCCCATGTCAGCATAGACAATGGTCAGGAATTCTGGGAGTTTACATTGTAAACATCTGTAGGACCAAAAAGTTTAGAAATACTGCCCTAAACACTAGTTACTCTATCTGTCTCATACTGCTCACATTACTTCCTCAAATAGTGTCATCATCTTCCCAAAAGATAATTGTAATCTGACATCCTGTTCCTTCTTTATTACATTGATTCTTATAGCTCTACCACCATCACCAGAGAAGGCGGCCGTACATGAAACAAATGTCCTATTGGAAAAATCAGCATTATTTAAACTAAATGGCCCATTTATTTGTTCAGGCATTTACAGTCTAATCCCCAGCATTCAATTATTTTCTTTCTGCTATCTCTTTCCTAGTTAATAAGCTGGTACTAATTTATTTCCTTTTCTTTCCCTTTAGTTTTTCTAGTCTAGATTTCCCCCTGGCATTAAAAAAAGCAAATTTATGAACATATCCAGCTCTCCTTCCAAAGACAGAACCACCACTAACCTACTCCTCCTTCATCTTTCTTTGCCCCAATTCATTGGATCAAGAAATGGCATTCTGATCATAATATGCCTAGAGATGTCATCATCATCATCATCAACAACAACAACAACTCAGCATGATATAATCATAGAGTTGGAAGAGTGCCTCATGGGCCATTAAGTCCAAATCTCTTCTCAACAAGGGTCTTATTGATTTTCATGTACATTCATTTCCAAAGCATGAAACACCACACCAGGAAACTACATTTTGGACTATTTTGTCTTCATATGTGGAGAGGAGGAATTATAGTAATTTTTTCCACTACAAAAAAACCCTACATGATATTTGTCTACAGTTTTCTTATCATGTTTGAACATCCTGAAGTGGAATAGTTCTGCCAGAGGAATGGGAAAGCCAATTTTTAAAACAAAGAATAAAACACTTTTTTGCACTGAATGAATACCCTTTTTCTGTGTGAAAAAACAGAGCAGTGTTTTACACCAAAAAATCCATGTGTTTTTCTCCTCAGAATTATATTTTTGTAACACTTTTAAATATTCTAACATTGTGGAAAACTGTGCAACATTTTTGTGTATCTGTTTTAATTCCTTGCTGCATTTGTCACAATCAGGAAACTCAGTTTTCATTCTAGAGATTAATAATTAAAATATACTTTCCATCACTACACTAAAGCATTTTAAAGGTCATTATTTATCTGCTTTTATATTGTAATTTTCATACCTGTTTTTTAAGGTCTTCAGATTGTTCGTAGTAATAGTTGTAATCCTTTGGGTCATTGAGTGAGCCTTGCTGATCATACCAATTCCTAATTTTGCACTCGAGCTGAGCATTTTCCTCCTCCAAATACCGCACATTGTCCAGGTAAGATGCCAAGCGGTCATTGAGATTCTGCATGGTCTTTTTCTCATCATAGGTGCATGAAGGTGCCTCAATGCAAATGCCAAATCCACCACCAAGATATTTAAAGCAGATGCTGCTAACGCCAAACCCACCAGAAGCATCATATACATAACCGTTGCCTAAAGGACCTCCATCCAAGCCACCATAGATGCCTCTTTCCATGCCTTGATTTCCTTGGTAAGTTGTTCCACCACAGTATCTTGGAGAACCTCCACAGTTGGCACTACACACATCAGGAAAACCATATCTTCTAGAAGCTCCAGAACTGGTTCCCAGTGCATTGCAACTGGTGGCACAGCTACCATTGCTGTAGCTTCCATTGGTGTACATTATTGTATAGGTGTGTTTAGAGCTCAAACTCAAAGAACATCAGACACAAGACCAACCACCAAGAAAAAGCCAAAGACACTCAGAGAGCATGATAAGAATAACAGAATGATAATTCTGGCATCTACACAGGTCTGTATTTTTATACTTCCTGCAGTCTGATTATGAGTCTAAGGCTTTTGTTTCGTTCATAGGGATGGCTCATCTGTCTGGCTCCAACACCAAAAGTTGTCTTTGAGGCCATATTGCCTCCAGGAAGCTTAGTTACAGAGAGAAGGCATTATAGAGTTTCCATAATTTTCTTTCAAAGCTACCCACAGCAGCAAAGTCACATGAATCATCAAGTTTAGACCCTTATTGAAAACTTCACAGGAGAGCATCACAAAACATTATTAGCATACAATATTGGTAGAGGAGACATAATTACACCTTGTAGCAATAAATGACTTTTCATTCATCATAATATATATGTTGCTTTGATTTCCTTTTTATTTTAATCATTATGACTGGAACAAACTGTGTATGTCCAACTTTTCATAGCACAGCGGTCTCCATCCAGCCTGCCCATCCTGTTCCTTTCTTGCTATTCCTGACCATGCAAACCCTCTCCCCTTCCCATAGACTTGCTTGTGGTATAATTGAGACAAACCTATGGGATCTAGCAGGATTGTGAGATTCCTTTTGTAGAACCTGGGAAATTTACACAGTTTTAAGGATCTTTAGTCACAGATTGGTAGAAGAAAAACTGGAAATCGATTTCCCCCTACTGTTTATGAATTAGAAACACATTTATTCCAATAAGCAGTTTGTAGTGTTTCTGTGAAATCAGAGGTGGAGACAAGTTCTCTTTGTGAACTAAAACTACAGAGAGAAATTCATTGAATAGAAAATGGTAAAAGGTCTAAAAACTATGACTTATGAGCAGCAGCTAAGGGAGTTGGATATGTTTAATCTGGGGAAGAAAGGGCTAAGAAGTGATGGGATAACTATATTTAAAAATGTTAAAATGATGTCTTGTTGAAGACAAAGCCAGCTTGTCTTCTGCTTCTCCAGAAATTCCACCTAAAAATTAGAAAGAACTTCCTGGTGATAAGAACTGTTCAGCAGTGGAATATGCTGCCTTAGAAAATGCATCAGTCTCTTTCTCTGGAGGTTTTTAAGTAGAGGCCAGATGGTCGTCTGTCGAGAGTGGGTGACCATTGTGGTTGTGGTTTCTTCCAACTCTGTTTTTAATGTTCTTTTCTATGATTGTAAAACCGATTGCTGTTCAACCTATGTCTTGCCACAAAAGGGAGGAAGATGAGCATTAGAATTCGGGGGAATTAACAGGCTTTATTAACAGCAAGCAATTTTTTTTGGATCACTGTTTTCTACCAGTGTCACACTTTGCATCAATTTCTTACTCTCCATGAACTCTAATGTCTTCTCTTTCATCTTCAACTTCATCTTTTAACTCTCACTTCAGACTCCAATCAAAACATGTTAAGAAATGTGAGAGATAGCACTGGATTTCTTTAGCTAGACAAAGTGAAAAGATTAATAATAATAAAAAAAGAAATAGACGCACTCCACCCCATTGATAAAAACTCTCCCAGGCACTTTCTTGCAATTGAAGATTTTTAAACTGCAGGTTAACCAGAATAACTTCCAGAAGGGAAGAATCAAATTAAAGATAAGTTGATTCTGAAGCAAACATGAGTGTTTCTTTGTTAAGAAGACAGAAAAGGATAATGGAACAGACAGTTCAGTACATACAATTTTCATCAGGAAAATCTTATTTTTCTGACCAATCTAAAGGGATAGAGTGGTACAGTGGCTCCAGACTAAAATGCACATGGGTCTTCCAATCTGCCGGTGTAAATAAAGTCCAAAAAACATAAGTAGAGCTTTTGTGAAACACTTGGAAATTCCTTCTTTCCTTGCTAGAAGGTCTTTTGGGGACTGCAACTAGAGAATCTGCTTTATGGTCTCTCGAGACCTCTTTGTACTTGCAAAGATCTGTCTTTCCTTTTCTGTGTTGGAGAACCTCTGGAATCAACCTTTGCATTGCCCCTCTGCCTATGTTTAACCAGTTTCTAACTTATGGGCCATCTCCTGGAGTGAAGGTGATATTTCTGTGTGGAGCTAGCTCCATGTGCTTAAAGGGAAGAGTGCAGCTTGTGCCTCATGTGCAGAAAATAAAGGTCTATATGCAAGGAACAGATATGAACATGACCTCTGCCTGTCACCTCTGATAATGGCTCCTAATGACTCCTAAATGGTGTTCTGATGAGAGCAATGGAGTTGCAAGGCATGGGGAAAAGTCAAACAAATATAGCTAAGAATAGGTGACCTAGTTTGGCAAAGTTTTCATTAACTAGGAGTAAATAAAATAGTTAAGCACTAATTGATCTCTCAAATGATTAGTCATTTTTTGTCACCAGGAGAGAAGGGATTTTGAAGGACAATGCCAGTCTGCACTTTAAAATGAGGCTTGGCTTGTCTCAAAATGGGCATGGATTCAGAATATCATTTTTAACCTGTCTCCTATTGTTCGGATTGTGGCAGGAGGTATTTCCCTGCCTAAAAGCTTTCTTGTAAGTCATATTTATTGAGCATATGTCATAACACCAACTCAGGTGGACTAGAGTCATAAGAAACAAGCATGACATCTCAGAGATCAATATTAAAATGACATGGACAGTCTGGACACCAGCCCACCTCTGCAACAAAATGGAGGCAGACAATAAAATGATTCCATAATACTGTCACTTGAACCAACCCGTATTCAGTATCCTATGTACATGGACCCTTAATTACTTGAACAAAATTATCTGTCCACTGGATTTTTTTCTGTAGTAGTTGAGTGTCTTGAAGTGTGGTCTAATTTCAAGATTTACTTTATAGAATCAAAGAATAAACACTGATATCCACCCAGTATCAGGATCATTTGTTTTCATGGTAAAGTAATAGCTCTATTGCTCTGGATCCATTTGTGTAGGCTTCCTGGTATAAGTGGCACTGAAAATCCATTTGATTTGCAGAAAAAGGGATGTCTTCCTATGCTTCAATATACCTAGTACCACTGCCATGTGTTTTCAATAATTCCTTTGGTTAGGGCTAGCATCAGCACTGAGCAACATTTGGAGAAGTGTGAGAAATACTTTGTTTTCAACTGCCACTCTCTCGCCCACTCAGGAGGGATGAAATGGATGCCTTAGTCCATTTGTATTATACCAGGTGATTCTAGAATTTTCTGTTACGTTCCTCAACAAGGGCTAGAGACCACACAGTTAACTCCCAAAAATCAGTTGTATTTTTATGAGGCAAAGACACAGATTTTGTTTGCATCAGGCAGAAGCATAGTTTTATTAAAGGCCCCTTTACAACAGTATGCCCCAAATCTACCCCATGATGCCAATACAGTAAGACAGGTGGCTGGGGCAACACCATACACTTTGTAGAAAGAGGGAATAAGATGATGAATTTTGAGGGTGCTCTGGAACTAAATAGTTGGCATGAAAAATGTTCAACTGCTCGAAGGAAGTCTTCTCTTGCTTATAGATTTCAAGTCAGAAAATTAAGAGTTGCATTGGCAATTTTTGTGGAAAATTCAATTTTCCTTCCAGGTTTATCTGTTGTGTCCTGAAGAGAGAGGGAGAAAGAGAATAATTTCAGGATTGCAGTCTAAGAGTGTGGCACTGTAATCTCACTGAACCTGTCCATTCCTTTTAATGACAAAAATACAGTATTAAGCTAGATCAATGTTTCTCAACTTGGGTGTCAGGACCCCTGAGGAGGTGCGAGGATGTTTCAGAGGGATTGCCAAAGACCATCGGAAAACATATTTCTGTGGATCTTAGGAACTCCTTTGGCAGAGAAGACTGAAGATCTCTCCGCCTGTTCTTCTCTTCCTTTTTGGAAACAGACGTGAATACTCCCACTAAACGCGCTCCTCTGCTGTGATTGGCTGGCCTCCCACACAAGGGGAGGGCTGTTTCTGAAACTCCAAGCAGGGAGGGGAGAGCAGGTGTGCTCGGCGTATGGCAGTGTGGTGCACATGTGCGAGCGAGGGAGAGTGCATGAGGGTGGAAGAAGACTCATGCCAGCAAGTTCCTTGAAGGCATGGGGGTTCTGTGTGGGAAGTTTGGCCCAATTCTATCATTGGTGGGGTTCATGATGCTCTTTGATTGTAAGTGAACTATAAATCCCAGCAACTACAACTCCCAAATGTCTAGATTCATTTTCTCCAAACTCCACCAGTGTTCACATTTGGGCATATTGAGTAGTTGTGCCAAGTTTGGTCCCGATCCATCATTGTTTGAACTACAACTCCAAAACTCAAGGTCAATGCCCACCAAACCCTTCTAATATTTTCTGTTGGTCATGGGAGTTCTGCCAAGTTTTGGTTAAATTCCATTGTTGGAGAAGTTCAGAATGCTCTTTGATTGTAGGTGAACTATAAATCACAGCAACCACAATTCCCAAGTGACAAAATCAACACTTTCCCCCAACCCCACCAGTTATCAACACAACACGAAGAACTGCATTATGGGGTCAAGGCATTTGGAAGGTTGAGAAACACTGAGCTACATCAGCCCTATGTGTAAGAAATTTAGCCAAAGAAAGAGCTCCTATTTAAAACAGTAATAGTAAACACTATTTTAGATATGATATAGCAGCCTAAATGTGCTATAGGCTCCTGATCTCATCCAATCTTGAAATTTCAGCAGGATCAGCCCTGGTTAATTTTTGAATGGGAGATTGCCAATGAGTATCAATTGAGCCAGGTAAGATTTCAAGGAAGGAACTGGCAAAACCCCCTCTGAGTATTCCCTACCTTTAAAAAAATACCTATGAAACTCATGGGGTTGCCATAAGTTGACAAGCGACTTGAAGGCAAGCACATAGATATCTAATTAATATTATTTAGAGTTAATAACAATGTAATAACTTTTAAAGCATTAAAATATAAATTGTCCCAAGATTAATGGACTGGACTTAGGTATTGTAAGCATTAATGAGATTACAATGGGATGGAAGATTTCAGGGAGGAAGCAAGTATTACCCAGGGCAAGGTAGGTAGTTGACATATCTTGGCATTACACAATATTAGGAACTAGTTCCTAATATTAGGAACTAGTTCCACAATATTACGAACTTCTATTTCTCTTGTTTTTCTAATGCTTATCCAAGAAAGACATACTCTTCAGTATTAATAGTAAGGAGAATTTTCTTACAGAATGCCGTCCCTTGTTAAGCAAGACTTATTTGCTTCAAGTCAACTCTGACTGATGGTGACCCTTCTTAATAAGATTTCTTTAAACGACAGTCAGCACTGCCTTCCTCTGAGATTGTGACTTCCCCATAGTCACCCAATGGTTTTCCATGGCTGAGCAGGGATTTGAACTCTAGTTTCCCAGAGTTCTAGTCTAAAATTCAAACCATTAAACCATACTGGCTCTCTTCTTAAGCATAGAACCCTATAGGACCTTCTTACCTTTTGAATCGGGATGAGAACGGATTGGAGAGGATCTAGTTGTACTTCCGCTGGACTGTCTGGAAATCCCACCTGCTGAGCTGCCACTGCTGTGGCCAGTGCTGGAGTGGGAAATCATAAATCAATGAGATCAAAAAATGATTTAAGATAGCCATACTATAAGCCACCATTTATCTACCTATCCATCCATTAAATTTATGTCTCACTTTTCACAAAAAATACAATAGTTTTGCAATGTGTAAAACATAACTATTAATGCTCCAAAAACAACACTATGAAAACCTTTGCAAATGATGCAAAATTTGAGATTGTTTCGGGTGTATAAACTATTGCTACAGAAAGGCATAACTACTTAATGTTAACTAGATAACTAAATCTCTAGCTTTCTTTAGTTAACATTAGAAGTGTGTTAGTTTGAAACTTTAAAAAATCACTTAAAATTAAGAAAAATGAGCAACCTTTTCAGAAGTGTGACATCTTGCATTTTAATCCACCCACCCAAAAATACCTTTCTGATATGCAGACTGAAGGAGAACATGAGTAAAATCGGCACTGAAGTGAATATGATCTTAAAAATGGTCAGTACATAATCGAGTATGTGTCTTGGACTTCCAATGACATTTTAATTCAATGTTTGATATATTAGATGCCTGACAGCTCATGGTACTGTAGCATATTATCTGCATATGCTATATAACTTCTAGTATCCTAGTAGACAGGTTGTCCCAAGACATTTTATTGCCTGAGGATCAGCAGCCAATGGTGTTACTATTTGTCTAAGTCAACTAGCTGTCCTCAGTAGTAAAAAAACAAAAACAATAGCAACATTATGTAAATAAAAAAATGCTACCCATGTATGACAGCAAAAATATACAATCTCAGATTACTTTTTTCCTCTTCTGAATGGTAGATTTTTCCTGAAATGTCTCTGTGGTCTACCTACGCAATATCATGCTGTCCTCCTTCTAACAGACAACGGTACGTTTGGATCTCCTGTTCCAGGCGACACTTGACATCCAAAAGCTCTCTATATTCTCGGTTCTGGCACTCCATCTCTGCCCTCAGCTCTCCTAGTTGCTGCTCCACACAAGAGATTTGGTTCTGTATTTCAGCCAAGTGGCCATTATAGCGACATTCTGTCTCAGCCAAAGAGTCTTGCAGCGTATCCCTCTGAGGAATTCAAAAATGCAAAATTAAAATATGGTAAACGGGGAAACAAGCACAGGCTAATTGAAAATAACAGTGTGTAGTTTCTTTTGGAAACTTTTTTTACAGCAAAACTGGAATTCTGTTGGGGCACCACACCATCCTAACTGTATTCAACACTGTTTTTTCAATACTTGTGGAACAAGTATCCAGACTGCCACAATGGATCTGACTACCAACAAGCAGACATACAGGAACAGCTCTGCTTATTTTATGAACAGAACAATCTGTGATCTCTTGAAGCATGCACGGTGCTTCCCAGCGTCATTGGAACACGTCCTTTCATCCATGTACCCTAACAAGCTTTACACTCTTTCACTTTTAAGCAGGATGTCTGCTATGTAAGAAGTCCAGAGCATAACTTTCAATATTTAAATGATAAAAACTAGGCTACATGGAGCCAAGCAACATTAAAATGTAGTCAATATGGTCAAAAGTATTTATAAAGAAGAATACATAAGCTAGGGAGCGGCAGCAGTAGTTTGCATTTGTCTGAGCCTACAGGGAAGAACAAAATTCCACCCATTCCTTCCTAAGCCCAAGTTAATTAAATGTGGGGAGGGGGGATAAAGAGGAAAAAGTGGGGTGGCAGAGGGTTAATCAGCACCACCCCCGAAACTGGAATTGATGAAGCATTAAAGGGACAGGATTTTACTAGTAGCATGTTGTTCATTTGCATTTGAAAAAAGGTGGAACATTCTTTGATTCTTTGTGTTATAGTGTAATAGTGGCCAAAATCCTGTTCTCTGAACAAACTGACGTACAACCCTCTAGGTACATTAAAACCATGTGGAGCTCCATACCTGCCTCAAAGCTAGTTTTTTATGAGTTCCATAGAATAGTAACCAAAAACATTTCTTTACAGTCTTGACATTTGTTCTTGGCACATGGGTGGAACATTGCACACAGTTAACAACACTTCTTTCCCATCTCAGATACAGTTTTACAGAATAGATAAGAAAGTTGATTTGTTGGGTCCAACTTTATGAATGCAGAGATACTATACATACCAAACTAAGTTGAGCCTGTAGATCAATTTCTAAAGTTTGCAGCTGGCGTTTCAGGTCAACAATTTGGTTATTACAATCTTCAGCTTCTTTGCTGCTATTGCAGACCTCCAGATTCACTTCCTCCATCTGAAAAGGCAGGAAACACAAAATTAGAAGAGGCATTCTGTTTTGTTTCTTAGGGACCTCCCACACAGCCATATAACCCTGAATATCAAGGCAGAATAACCCACAACATCAGCTTTGAATTGGAATATCTGATTCCACACTGCCATATATCCCAGTTAAAAGCAGATAACATGGGATTTTTTTTTTCGGCTGTGTGGAAGGGGTCTTAGATCTCACTGAGTAAATGAGGCGTTCTCTGTTTAGTTATTTATTAATCCAATTTTATTAAGTCTTGTGATATGATTTGTGATACCTTTACTTATTAAATAGGACACAATATGAAGATGTAGGGAACAAAGGGGAAGCATCATACAGCAGATGAAGGGGGTTGAACTTGCCCATTCATAGCACCCCAATGGCAGACCACACAAGTGAACAGATCTCATTAATTATAAAATACTATTCCATTCTACTACAATTAAAATAATAGTAGGATGCTTTATAATAGATGCTTTAATTGTTTTAATTGTAATTGTTATTATAATTGTGTTCAGCATCTAATGGTTGCCAGTTGTGAGCTGCCCTGAGGTCCCCTCTACCCCTGAGAAGGATGGTATATAAATGTTTGAAATAAATAATAAATAATAATACTCATTTATACAAATCAGCTATCATACACAAATACATATAAATCTCTGGTTCCTTCTATCATCTTTTTGGGGATACTTTTTCTTTCTTTCTTTTATAGCAATGTATAATTAGCATAAATCAATTAATTCTCTCTCCCCCATCCCTACAATACTTGACTGGACATGACTTTCTAACTTTCATGTGTGACCTACCTTGCTTTCATACCACTTCTCAACTTCTCTACGGTTATTCTCAATCATGTTTTCATATTGGCATCTCAGCTCATCCAGGACCTTTTTCAGGTCAGGCCCTGGGCAAGTATTGACCTCCACACTGACATCCCCACTGGATTGTTTCTTCAGGTGCTTTGATTCCTGCAAGGTACAAGTTTTGATTAAGATGGAATGAACCATTGTGAGAGGAAAGAAAATTTCTCTTCCCAGTAATATGATTCTGTTAAGAGCAGAGATGGGCCCTCATTTATATGGGGCTCATGAGAACTCAAGGCTCACCTCCTCATGATTCTTCTTCAGGCAACACAGCTCCTCCCGGAGAGACTCAAGTTGTGCCTCAAGGTCAGATCTACATAGGGTCAATTGATCCAGGACTTGGCGTAAGCCATTAATATCAGCTTCCACATTCTGACAAAGGGCCAGCTCAGTCTCATACCTGCAAAAAAAAGAAAAAGGAAATGTGTAGATAGATAGATAGATAGATAGATAGATAGATAGATAGATAGATAGAGGGTTCCACCCATGTGTTACCCATTTGCATTGCAGGCCTTTTGAGAATAGCATGTTTATGAACACATGAGGAGAATGAAGAATGCTTCCCACAGTAACTTAAGAGGAACTCACTTCATTCTGAAGTCATCTGCAGTCATCCGATTATTATCAATATCCAGGACAAGCTTGCTGTTTTCAACAGTGGCACAAACAATCTATAAGAAAAGAAGCAATACAATCTAAGTGTTGCCACCTGCTTCTGCTTGGTGCAGAGACCATCATTTGTTGCATTTTGGTTCTCCATTTTTCTTTCTATACTCTGATGGTTTATTTCCACGGCTACTCTCAATCAATGGGATTGTACTGGACTTCTTGTGTTTCTCCCCTTCTATGACTAGCCAATCTAGATCTATTATCTATTATTTCTGTAATGCAATCTCTATCTTCCCCAAGGCTGTTCAATTGCTTGCAAACCTGTTTCTGATACATTTATCATTATGTCACTGTCAGAGAAGGCAGCAAAACTTGAGGAAATATCTTTTCTATTTTTAAAAAAAATGTAATTATTTTAGAACAGGGTAGACCACCATGGTGGAGTCAGTTTGCCTGCACATTCCCATGATGAGGCATATTTCCTGAGTTTTGCTTGAATCTCAACTGAAAATCTAGTCCAGAATCTTCTTGATATTGATACTTCTGGGGCTTGGGCCTGTTTTCAACCAATTTCCAGAGTAGACTCTAGACTACTTAATGTAAAAGTGCAGTTCCAAATGGTATTTGTGAGGTGTAGGCAGACCCCTAAAAGCAATATAGATATCTGGAAGCTTTGGGGTCTCAAGGAGAGTTTAAAGACTCATGATTACAGTTCTCCAAACCCGGTTTTAAAAGATAGCATTTTCTTTTTTCTAATTACTTAACAACTTCTTCCCTTGTTCTAGGCATAAAAATCAAGTGCAAAACATTGTAAACATGGCTAAATCTAACCAAAACGAATACAATGATCCAATGAGTATTTGGATCTTGTACTGTCCTACACTGCTGCATATTTAGTGTATTGACCATCCAACTCTATATTAGATAGAGGTATAATGTCCCCACCTGATTTTTAAGGTCTTCAATTTGTTGGTAGTAAGAGCCATAATCCTTTGCCTCATTGATTGGGCCTTGTCGATCATACCACTCCTTAATTTTGCACTCGAGTTGACCATTTTCTTCCTCCAAGCATCGCACTTTGTCCAGGTAAGATGCCAGGCGGTCATTGAGATTCTGCATGGTCATCTTTTCATCGCAGGAGAGCAAAGGAGCCTCATTGCAAATACCAAATCCACTTCCATGATGCCCAAAGCGGTTCGTGCCATACCCACCACCATACCCACAACCTAGAGCACCTCCAGCAAAGCTACTGTCAATGCCACTTCCCCCATAACTCATTCCACCGCAGTAGCTCCTTGCAGACATACCACATCTAGCAGGAGAGGAACATCTTCCAGAATTAGCCCTTGCACCACTACCACCAGTGACACAGCTACCACTGCTGCTTCTCCCTTTGGAATACATCGTTGTAGTGGTATGTTTGGAGCTGAAGCTCATAATGAAAGAATCTTAGAAGCTAGACCAAACACCAAGAAAAAGCCAAAGACACACACATGCACAGATGCACACACAGCTTGACAGAAATAGTTTACTGAAGATTTTGGCATCCACACAGTTTGCATTTATACTTTATGCTATGTGGGTGTTGCCGCAAGGATGTCATGGTGTCTTCCTCTTCTACAAGGCTGGCTCATCAGGTTGGCTCCACCAAGAAAAATTGTTCTTGAGGCAAACGTGTCTCTGTAAATCTCATTTACATGAGTAAGGCCTTTGAAAGTGTCAGCAACTTTCTTCCAAAAATACTATCAGGAGCAGTCACATGAATCATTTAATTTTCCCCACACAGAAAATTTTACGAGAAAGCATCATGAAACAACACTGCCTTAAACTATTAGCAAGGAAGAAATAATTACATCTTTCGGTAACAAAGGATTCTTCTATCATCATTAGACATCTTGTGATTTTAATTTTGTTTTGATTTGATTTTGAGTTCAATTAACATGTAATAGTTTTCTCATTTTCAGAGTATGGGTCAAATCACAAATACATATTTTCTTCAAGAAAAAAACCTGTGCAATGGTCTGTTTATCATTCCTCCTAAAGATTTTTGGTCTCCTTGACAGAATTAGGTCATCAAACTAAGTCTATGTCTACACTAGCCATAATACTCTGCTCAGAATTGCCGTGGATACAGATGAGAGCTTTCTACGGCCTTTTGAGGTCCACGTGGCTGCCTCAGCTGACAGCGCCTTGACATCAGTGCCCTGTCCTCCTGGGTGACGTGACTTCTCGTGAGGTCACAAGAGGGCATCTAGCCATGTAACAACCCAAAGTAAGGGCACCAGCAATATTTGCCAGGGAACTGTTTTGCGTTGGTGAAACAGTGGTGGGTTGTTTTTTGTTTTTGTTTTTTTTTGGCATGTGGATATTGGTCCATCCTGGATCAAGTCCAGTCAAGCCATCCACACCTAAAAGAAAAAGATCAGAGATTTCCAGATGCTCCAGAGATACTAGAGCTATACCCTGACATGGAGGACCCTTCCAGACAGGCTCAATCTTGAGAGGAACTGAGAGATTTTATCCCAGTTCCTCCTGAGATTGAAGCCCCATACCTCCTCCAAACCCCAGGCTTTCCCTTGTAGGTGTCTACATGCCCCTCCCAGGTCAACCAGATGGTATGGAGCCAGTCTCCAGCCCCCCATTTAGCCCCAAAACTTATATGAGAGGCCTGGTTGCATGTTCAGGCCCCTCCAGTGAAAGCTCCTATGCATAAAATGTTGTTTTGAGAGGCTGAGGGAGGAAGAAATGCCTCCCTCCCACTAACCTCCTGATGCACCAAGAGTTTTCGCTGGACGGGCCTAAGCATGCAATCAGGCCCTTCACATAAGTTCTGAGGGTAAGTGGGAGGCTGGGGACTGGCTCCATGGCTGTCTGGAAGGGTCCTTAGCATCAAGGTATAGCTCTAGAGAGGGCAAAAGAAAATCCATATGCTCCACAGACTGTGGCTGAGATCCTGCCTCAAATGTGTGTAGATATTGCAGCTATCCAACGCTTTAAACCCATCTTAAAACCCAGCCATTTGAAATTAGCGAGGTTTGTTCTGCTGGTGAGTGAGGCACTGCAGGATGATGTGAACAACCTCTCCTGCTAATGAGCAAAGTTGCAATGGATAATTGCAACAGGTTCCTGCAGAGATCATGATTTTGGATCCCCACAGCTGTGTTTGCTGATACAGTAGAGTTGGTCATGTCATCCTGCATTACTATGACTATGAAGGACAAATTGGGATTTAAGGTAAATTTCAGGGTCATTTGCCATCGTGACAATAGTGCATGTATCTCAAATGAGAATACAAAGCAGTTGCAGTTTCTTAAATCTGACTTACATCATGTTTTACCAACCCCTGTTGTAGACATATGGCCTCTTCTCTGTCTTGTACAACATTAATAGTCCAGACAGAGTATACCCTTCCTACCTCCTTGTCAATTATTCAGGAACTTCTGATTCCAGCCCTGCCTGGCTGTCTGCTGATCCACTTGCTAGACCTGACCTTGCAAAGACTCCATTCCATCTACCTTAACTGCGACTATCCATACATAAACATATATGCAAGCATGAATTGCATTTCTCACGCTGTGGTTATACATCTGAGCATAACTTCCAGTGTCACAACTTCCTATTACACAACATATTAATGATACAGTCCTGGATATTGAGCTTCTGCACAATATCCAGGACTGCATCTTTAATAATTTTAATCTATATAAATAAACATGTAATATTTGTTTGTGGGAGTAACTCAACTAAAAAACCAATGGGTGAATTGACACCAAATTTGGACACAATACACCAGGCATGTAGCCAGGGGGGGGAGGGTTGAGGGGCTTCAGCCCCCCCCCCCCCCCAAATTCTCATGGTGGTCTGCGAGAAGGCCTTTCTGGTACATTATTTAAACTGTTATGTTTATTCATATCATGATCTGATCACCATGCTCAATATATCCATATGCATGGGGGTATTGGGGTAACTATACAAAAGGTTTGCTAGGGTAGACCCTCTTTCACTCAGACTCAGCCCCCCCCCCCCCGAATCAAACTCAGCCCCTCCCGAATCAAAATCCTGAGTACGGGCCTGCAATACACCTATCAGACCAACGAGTGACCTTCACTCATAAAACACTGAAAAACACAGTGGAAGAGACTTAAAAAGCCAAAAATAAAAATAAAAATACATTACAATGCATGTGCAAAACCACATATATACAAATATACACATATATACACACAAAACACATATACACAGATGGGCCACAGCAACGCATGGCAGGAGATGGGTAGTGATTAATAATACTGTCATTTTTGGCAATAGCAAGCTTTCAGTTTATTGTGAGGAGCCTCCAGTGGCTCAATGGGTTAAATCCCTGTGCCAGCAGGACTGAAGACCGACAGGTCGCAGGTTCGAATCCAGGGAGAGGCGGATGAGCTCCCTCTATCAGCTCCAGGTCTTCATGCTGGGACATGAGGGAAGCCTCCCACAAGGATGATAAAAACATCAAATCATCCAGGCGTCCCCTGGGCAACGTCCTTGCAGACGGCCAATTCTCTCACACCAGAAGCGACTTGCTCCTGACACGACAAAAAATATATATTGTGAATTGTACTTGGGCGGAATCTTGTGCCTCTTTTGCAGACTCTTCCTAATGCATCCTTTCTTCATATACACTGGATGACACCAAAGCACTCTAATCAAGTTGACCCTTTCCTACAATCATTGGCCAGATGGTTGTAAAGAGGATAGATAATAAGGCCTCTCTTTTTATCTATCCTCTCTCTCTTGTTTTGTGTTCAATTTCTGAATATAGAACTTTTAAAGCCATTGCCCATTATTTTCCTATGAAAGCAGACTTTATTTTTTTCCTGAGCAGTTCAGGCCGTGAGAAAACCTGGAATTTCTTGAAGGAGTCAATAATTTGATGCCGCTGGGGAAAATTCTCATTCATATATGCAATTACCTAGATTGAGAGATAAGGAACCAGAACTCCACAAGATACCTTTCAATTTAAACCTGAAAGTTTGGAATTCTCTACCAGTTTGGGGTGGGAACAACAATGCAGTTTGTCATGAGGTTTTAGTTTGAATTGCAAAATATGAGATGCAGCGTAAAAATTCAAATTACAAGGTTTGCTGTTTTGTTGTTGCGTGCCTTCAAGTAATTTTCAACTTATGAGAACCCTAAGGCAAACCTATCATGCGGTTTTCTTGATTTGTTGAGTGAGGGTTTGCCTTTACCCTCCAGTGAAGTTGAGAGAATGTGACTTGCCCAAGGTCACTCAGTGGATTTCCGTGATTGAGCAGGTATTCACATCCTGGTCTCCAAACTCCTAAACCAATACTTAAACCATTACACCACACACTCTCCCTATTAGGGAAGGGGCATTTAGAATTCTCAGCCAAAAATCTCTTACATTTCACCAAGTTAAACAAAACAAAAAATACCATAGGATATTGCCATAGCAATTAAAGTGGAATCAGAATGTTTTCAATGTGCAGTGTGAAAATACCATAGTCATGTGCACACACCTGCCCATCCTCCCAAAATAAAACATCTAGACTTTTTGCTTTATAGAATCATAAAGGGGCAGACACAGTTGCTCTAAGATGCATTATCAGCACAAGTAAGGTTGGGTTGTTCTAGGTTTTTCAGGCTATATGGCCATGTTCTAGAAGCATTATCTCCTGACGTTTCGCCTGCATCTGTGGCAAGCATCAGAGGTTGTGAGGTCTCTGAGGATGCTTGCCATAATTTCACAACCTCTGAGGACGCTTGCCATAGATGCAGGTGAAACTTCAGGAGATAATGCTTCTAGAACATGGCCATATAGCCTGAAAAACCTACAACAACCCAGTGATTCTGGCCATGAAAGTCTTCGACAATACACAAGTATAGTTGTCACTTACATAAATGTCCAATATAAGCTGTCACTAACATAAAGCTCCAACCAGGTAAACCCTTTGCTAATCATTGAGGATTTATTCTCATTAGTGATGGACCAACTTGGCCTCCATCCTATTAGTAGTCCTAGTTGCAGTAGATCCATAGATTCAGCTGTTGAATGATGAGTCAGTGTGTATGTGAACTTCATGAATTCAATGGGGCCAGGCATGTAGCCGGGGGGGGGGGGCTTCAGGGGCTTCAGCCCCCCCCCCCGAAATTCTCATGGTGGTTCTCAAAAAGGCCTTACTGGTGCATTATTTAAACTGTTATGTTTATTCATATCATGATCTGATCACCATGCTCAATATATCCATGTGCATACGGTATTGGGGTAACGAAAAGGTTTGCTAGGGTAGACCCTCTTTCACTCAGACTCAGCCCCCCCCCCCCCCCGAATCCCCCCCGAATCAAAATCCTGGCTACGGGCCTGAATGGGGCTATTCTATATAAAACTTTCTTTACTTTCTTGGGGTAGATGTAAATCCATTAACTCTTAGTAGGCTGGGAAACTTGCCCTAATAAATCTATGACTTAAATCTGACAAATTTCAGTTGTATTGAAACTGGTTTAGAACAGGATGCCCTGAAGAGAGCTGGTGGCCTCTTCAGAAT